TGTGTGCTTTGCTTCGTTTTCATGGGACTAACTATTCACTAACATCAACTATTCATTAATATCTACCAAAAAATTGATTTTCTTTTGAAAACTCTTTATCTTTCTGCAATATTTTTTTTTTGTGTTTAAGACCTTGGATGAACCTATTATACAATATGCGTTGATATTTAGAATGTGTATATATTTCTTGTTTATGCATGAAGCATATTAAAAATTCATAATTTAAAAAATTGCTAAATTTTCAGTTTTCTGTTATTAAAAGGTATTTTCATAGAATATTGCAACTTGCCTTCTTGTTTTATAAATTTGATACAAATCAAAGAAAGTTAAAATTGGAATTTAATTTCAAAGAAATTTTAGAAATATTACATACCAGTGAAGACAAATATTTTGAGGTTGTTATATTGTTGTATTATTTTGACTTTGTGTCTCAAGTACCTGGTAAACATTTACCCTTAAAGAATAATCTTGACAAATATACTCACAGAGTTTAGAAAACACTAGATAAAAGTCTTTGCCATTTCAATACATTGTTAATCATCTACACATATGATTTCAGGAGAGACATAAATATATTCACAATGTGTATTAAGATAAGTAAAATTTTAATATAGAGTCTTCAATACTGTATAGCACAATATTTTCTTTACTGGTGTCTGCAAAAATCTAAGTAAGATACACATTGCTCTGAACTGTCTAGGCCTAGACATGAACATGTCAAATTGCTAATATCATGTAATTTATGGCATCTATTCTTCCAAAATTTGACACAATTGTGACATAAACGTTGAAAATCCCTAATGGTATCTCAAAATCTATTACAATTTGGGTTGTATTGTAAATTTTGAAATCAATACGATCTAAAGAAATGAGAGAAAATTTGATATTAGTTAAGAAACTGAAAGACAAAAGGGTCTTTCTATGTCTTCTACACATCTTTATTGTTCATTTGATTCCAATTCATCTTCACTATATCATTTTACCAATCCAATATAGGATATACAAAGCTAAAAACAACTACAGAGCAATAGTTTCAAATCTAATCTACAAAAGGAAGACATATTTGGAAACATTAAAATTCAACATTGAAATACAAATGTTCATTATAATTTACATTAAATGTTAGACCATCTTAACTTAACAAGTATACTCATTATTATCGTTGATTATTGCTAAAAATTCTAGGTAAAATAATATCTAAAACATGTGTATATAGTAACAATATGCTATAAATACTTTAGTTAACATCTTCAAACTGTACAGACAACCACAGAGTTCATATAAAATAGTGCGAGTATTTAAAATGTATTGGTAGTTTTGTAACTACCAGTTGCAACATTTCCCAACAAGTTCAAGTAATGAGATAGATGAAATGTTTTCAATACGACAGGAAAGATTGTTCTTTTCAAGGAAGAGGAATATGATACAAAGCATGTAGCCTAACCGAGTCTACATCTCTTCTAGTCTTGTTGATATTTACTTTCACAATTCAGAATGGTGAACCCAAAATTGATAAATGATAGTATTCAGTTTAGTACACCGAAAAAATGTCTATTTATTCTTTCTTATTCTATTTATTTAAACATCACAATATCTGATAATGGACTTACATTACAATAAAAATATCAATAAGTATTGTTGACAACATTTGGTAACAAGAAATATTTGCTCATATACAATTAAAGCTATTTGCATTGGAAAACAAGTTAGATTTGGTTTTATAATACTGGTGATAAAATAATGAATCTCTTCCATCTCTCTCATCTAACTAAATGAGAGCTCAGGAAAACACTTGCAGATATTACAATGGCTGACGTTCGTGACAAAGATTGTCAAAAAGTTTCTTGAACAATTAGTTCTAACATTTCAAATAACATCAAAGATTCAACAGAATTACATGAAATCAATCATATGGAATCAAACATATTCGCAAAATGAAACAAAAAAGAAAATTACATGATAATGAGAGGTATAAACAGTAAATGAAAAAAAAAAAAAAAAAAAAAAAAAAAAAAAAAAAAAAAAAAAAAAAAAAAAAAAAAAAAAAACAACCTCAAATGCAATTTCTAAGATATGGTACAGGAAGGCAAAGAAAAATAAACCTAAGATTTTTCAACAGAGATCTAGTGCCACAAATTCCACTGATTATTAAATATTATGTAAAATAAGGTAAGAAAGGTTTTTTCTCAGCTATCATTAAATAAGTTCAGAGGAAAAACAAATATGAACAAATTGAAATAGAACATACAGATTCTATTGCAAAGACATACAAAACCTTCAAAAAGGTGGTGATAATGATAATTATGAAAAGAAAAATGAAACAAATATTTGAGAAGAGGTACCCAAATTGCTCAGAATTTAATGACTTATCAAATATCAATTGTAAAACATTTTTATTGTCAACCGCCTAATGAAAGAAGGAAAAATGTTTAACAGCAACTAGAACAACTTTGTAATTGTTTATCTATTTTGTAAGTAAATATTTTCAAAATTTTAATACTAATTACAAGGGGGATCATATGTTAAATTTATCTTTGTTTTCCATTCACTTGTTTTCCAATAGTTTTTAAAGATTGTTGATACTTTTTGATATTTTGAAATCATCCAGTAACCCTGTTTAGTGAGTCAAATAGTTTGTGGTTGTGAGTGGTTCAAAATTTTCAGTTAGGGCAGTTTGCTCTCAAACTCCAAGAGCAATGACAATAGCCAATACTTCCAGCTGCGTTGAATTTTGCAGCAGTGTTTTATAAATAATGCTTAGAATGTGAAGTATGTTACATTTAACATCTTTTCATTTAAAAAAATTAATACTTATTGAATAAAAGAAAACGTACTTTCTCCATGTAACTTTTTCAACAATCTTAAAAAAAGCTATGACTATGAAAGATTTTCCATAATAGCCTGCACTAATTTAAATATATCTTATCAAAATGTTTGTTCGGTAAGGCCAAAATGTTTTCTTACCATCTTGAAGAACAGAGATTTAAAGTATTTTTGAGGGTACTTCACCTTGGTCTAGCTAACGAACATACTACCTTAAGTACTGCTTCTTTCCTCTTCCTTGAATGGGACAAACTACACTCATCACAGAAGAGACAGAGATTCTTTGACACATGAAGAATATTGTATCACACAATAAGTAGGTATAGAAAATCTACACACCATAGAAAAAAAATCTATATCAAAGGAATGGTAATATTCAGTACTGTATATGATTAAACTTTATTAAGAATTTAATTGTTTTAGATCATTAAGAGCATATTCTATCAGAATATTTAATGTTGGAAACAAAGGAACACAGTGTTGTAGCAATCCATAAGAAGAGCAGTGACATCAATTTTATGTCACAGATGACTATGATCATGGTAGCATTTGAGAGATATTTTCAATTGTTATTGATGAAGACAAAAAAATATCATTATATATAAACTTGGGTAGCACACACTTCAATAAATAACTTTAGTGATTTAATCAGTTCTATGATTTATTATAGAAATATTGCATAGCATTAATGCCAACTGTAGGCAAAAATTGTCTATCTTGATGTATTAACTTATGATCAGGTTTTGTTTGTTTTTCTTTATCAATTCATTACAGATTTTATTGTTTTAGAGGACATAGGTCGGTAGCTTCAGACTTGGACTTCACCTGTCGAGACTGCGATGTCATTCACTTCAGACCACTATGCAAAGTTCTATAGGGTGTTATGTTAATCAATTCAACAGACATTTAAGTATTTGGTTTTATTTCATTTAAATATAAGTGTAAAAATTTGAAGAATTTAAGTTAAATAGTTTTTTCTCATATTAAAATTAAAAACTGTCTATAAAAAATAAATTATTTTGAAATGGAAAATACTATTTAATGTTTATATTTGAAAGAACATTAAAATCCAATGATTAAAGATAATTGCGCTCATAAGCACTGAATAATACCATTATAAATTTAATTTTTTATTTTGAAAAACATTTTTCACAAATTGTAAGTCACAACAATTGCTAACTGTTTTATATTAATTAGTAACTATTGCTTACTAATATCATTAGTAAACATTACAGTTTCTCATTTAATCTCTAATAAAAAATAGGGGAAACATTGTGCACCACATTTTCTGCCCAGAATATTTTACAATGTTCTATAAACTTACTAAGTAATTTTACATTAATTGTAAACTTTTCTAAAACTTAACTATAAACTGTCTATTTATAACTACCCATTTTTTCAATAAATATATATATGTACCTATGTCTAAAAAGTTAGAAGGATTTTTCTCTCTCTTTTTCTTTTTAAGAAAGACCAAGAAGTGTAAGACTGGCTCCTGAGCTACGTATGCCTGTAGATTGCAATATTAGTTTTTTGCAATGAAAACAGATAAATAAGTGATCTTGAGGTGTTTTTTTTAGTGTTTAGTTCTTTGTTACTCTGTGCAGAGAATGTCACAAAAGTATCTAATCCTTATTCTAAAAGTTCACATTCTGAGAATTATTAACACTACTTGTGCTTTGTTCAGTTTCCTCACTCTTGTAAACTCATAGTACCCCAAAATATATTCTGCAAGATTCAACATGAGTAGACTTATCTAATAAGAGACAAGCTCAACCTAATCTATGTTTTGATTCACAAACACCTAACAAAGTTTTCACAAAAGACTGCACTGTTGTCCCCAAATATAGAAAGTTTTCAATTAGTTTTACTCAAATTGTAATCAAACCAATAACTAATACATTCAAAATAAATTTTAGTAGATATAATAAACCAGTAGTCCTTTAAATCCAGGAAACGGTCACTTAACTATTGAATCACAGATCAAAGAAAATGAGTCCTTGAAATTATTTGTCATATTTTAAATGTTTGAATGAAATACTTTAATTTAAATTACTGAAACCTATAAATCACAATAAAATTAATTTTATACAGCAAGGATACATTACATTCTCCATAACAATATATTTCATATGGAATCAGATTTATATGTAAATCTAATAAATTTCAATTTAGCACTCTATAGAAATATGAAAAAAAAAAATCTCAATACAATAGTATTGAATTGCAAAAATGAGAAAAAACTGAAATATAGGAAGTTTTTATTATTTTTTGTTTCTCCACAATTCTAATAAAACAGTGGTTAAAATAATTAAACTTTATATACCTATTTGTTGGAATTTTTTAGAAAGATAATTAGCTTTTCTTTGAATTTGGCAACTTGGTACTAACTCTGTCACGTATGTAAACCAACAGATAATGGAAGTCAGTTTGTAACTTGTTTGGATCATTGTGCAAAACTGAAAATGCAGCTTGTTTTTGTGAAACAATGTGCAATATGTTTTTCCTCCTTTTTTGAAACAATGTGCAATATGGATTAAGATAGAATAAACAAGGTGACAAGGAAGGCAACATTGCACATGGTCTGGGGTCCATTTGTTAGGGTACTGCTCCAGCATTTGTTTGATGTTGAATGGAGAAACCATGGAAAAATACCGATCAGAGCAGCCAGTGAGACTAGCTGATAAACTGGAGTTGAAAATCCTACCACCATCAGGATTCAAAACCAAGGAACTCCCAGTTAAAAGAATAAAGGAAAGCCAGGATTTTCCGATCAATCATTGCAAATTCAAAATTCAATTCCAAAGTACAAAATCAAAATCCATCAAAAAGAGTATTTGTATTTATATTTAGCCATTATGTCCTGTAAAGAGTAATTGACCTCAGCACCGTTAGATCCCAGAGTTCCTTGTTGGTCACCCAACCAGGATCTCGCAATATCTCGAATTCGCTTAACCTTCATGACTGCGTGTAATTAACAAATTTGGCTAGCAATGCCAATTTTATGGCCGTGGACCTTCAATAGAACCATCCCAGCATTCACCTAGATGACTGAGGGAGACCACAAAAACCCTGTTCAGGATGACTGGTAAGGGAATTTAACCCAGTCCTCCCAAATGTGAAATCAGTGTTCTATGCTCTAAACTGTTTTGTTCAGAATCTAAAGAGTATTAAGAGCCAAATACAGACCTCTCTTTGATGTCATCTTTTCATGAAATGGTACAAAAACAACTACAGTAAGATTTTTGACTTTCATTACAGATTGGTGCACATATTCGAAAGGAACAAGAATATTGTCAGTTTCAAACAAAAACGCTATATAATTGTAGTAACATAGAATTTCATTAAAAACAACTGAGCTCGTTAGCTTGTTTACAATTATAAGGCTGAAATCTCAAAACCTAACTATTTGAAATAAGATTTTTGTAATTAATAAAATTATGATAAAATTATATAGTTTCAGAATCTTTCCTTTATGATCATCTCCTACAAAACAATTATATTACTGGTGTTTAAAATTCGTTGCAGTTTGAACTGTAAGATAGGGAAGAGTTAATGATTTTTATTAATGACACAATGCAATGTTTTGTGACTTTATGACCGGTTTATACCCTAGTGTAAACAGTAGGCCAATATTTCATTTATATAAAAAGTATGAAAAGATACACAAATAAGTTTTACTACCTCATGATAAGAATGAGTTTACACTTGACCATTCTAATATGTAGTCTCTTTGAATATTAAGTCTTTCCAAATTCTACCTTAACTCACCAAAAAGTCATAATTAACTAAGTAATTTTGTCATGAAACATGCATATATATATAGATAGAAACTATGTTTCTACTGACACAATCTAAAGAGATGCACAGGAAATTTATATATTTATCTACATTTATTTTCACAACGATAATATTTGTCAAAAAATGGGTTTTCGTCTTTGCATGAAAATCCAAGAAAAGTGTCCTCGACTTTTTTAATTGTCTTACTCTCAGATATGTATATCATTAATGTACTTTGAAAATATTGATCACTTCTCCTTTAGCAAATCATCTTTTGGTCTGTTTTCACAATAGTTACCAGAACTGGTTAACAAATCACATTCTTGTGATGTGGAAGACAAGCGTAACATCCAGAAAAAATGTAAGGAATAAAATATTTAGGTGGAACAATATTAGAAAATTAAATTGTATTACACTTAGTAGTAATTTGTGCAAAAAAATTTATGGTTGATTCAACCATACTCATATTACAGGATGAAAATCTTAACTTTTAAACTATTGGGAAATATTTGAAAATCAATTTAGAACATTAAAAATGGTACACATAAGAAATTGCAATATTTTTTAATACAATAGAATCTGCTTGTTGTTCATTCCTATTTTGTGATGTTATATATGTTGAAGAAGCTTAACGAGTTACATTCACAAACTGTTGTAACTTTCAATTCAAGTTTCAAAATTGATCCTTTGGATCTTGCAAAATAAATATTTATCAAGAAGAACATCCTTAATCTAAATATACAGTTCCACATGTAACATACTCTCATCTTGAACACATTGGATGAGACAGTAAAAGAAAGCACCAAAATTTATTTAAATTGACAAATTAGCCAATGCTTTTAAAGTTGTTATATGTGGGGAGTACAAGATACATATTAAGTATTTCTTAAAAGGAACTAAATGAGGCATTTTAAGATCTCTATTCCTAACATGTAAAAACCAATTATTTGTAAATTAAATCACAAATTCATTTTAAAAGTCTAATTCCTAATAAATGTCTCTTTTACGATATGATATTTTATATAATAATTGTCTCCTGAGAAACATAAATTAATTAAAAATCTGATCACTGTTTTCATGTGAAGCAAAAGCTATTATGAAGCATCTTCTTTTGAATTTTTAAGAACAGATGGGATTAGAAATAAGAAACGCAACTAGATGAAAATCCTATAACTTAATAATTTTAAGTATGAATTAATCAAGACATAAATCAATGTAATCATAAATCACATCCCCTACATACCTCAAACTTCATTCTGACATTTTCTCAACCTGTTGAAGAAAAAAAGATGACATATTTGTATCAACAACAATATACAAAAAAATTTGATTTGATTTTTTTCCCAGTATAAGGCCTATTTATTATGAAAAAAAGTTACAAAGTTAAAAAAGCTTTTAAACTGGGATCCTATACTTAACACAATGATTTGAGAAGAATAAGCTTGTCAATAAAAGGAAAATGAATACATTTGTCAATTTACATTGGGATACATTAAAGACTGGAATATGCTCTAAGAAATAATTTTTGAAAGAAATGAATCTTTTTAAATTCTGTGATGAACTGATTCTTTGAAATGATTCCACAACACATCAAGTATTCTATTCAAAATATTACCATTGGCATCTCTAACCTTTTTTTCCTATTGACCAAATTATTTATATAGGAAGAGGATGAAAGACACAGACAAATTTTCAACTAAAAATCAGTTTAATATTTTTCAAATTTTGTATTATATTTGAAACAGAAATATAACATGAGAATTTTTATTGCCTATATGATAAACAAATTTTCAAAATTAAGTAAAACAAAGTTTGAAAAATCATATCAGCTAATGAACCTAGAAGTGATGAAATGAATACTTGGTACTACTGAACAACACCAAAAAGAAATTTTTAAAGCTGTGAATGAATGATTTCCACAGTACTTACAATAACATTCATCACTACGTAAACTCTAATCACACTGGGCCTGTGGATGAATTAAACAGTGGTCTGCATCACAACTTCCTGAACAGCTTTACAGATATTTTTGAATATGTTTATCTTTATAAATATATCAGCAAATTATTCAATCCTTGTGAAAGAGGAAAAAGATCAATTTTATATAAATCAAGGTGTTTAAGATTATTATGCCTAAGGTTGCAGCAAAAAGGCCTGTATACTGCATAACTGAGTCTACTAAGAATCAAAACAAACAAACAAAATTTAAAACAAAGGGTACATACCTTACATCTGGAGGATTATGCACTATGGTCGCTCATTCAAAGTTTCACCAACTCTTAGAGGCTTAGGCGGAGGAATGCACGGGTTCTGACAAATTACATTCCCCTTCAAACATAGACAGTTCTTGCATGGCTCTCCTTTAGGCTGAAAAACTTCCATCTCTTGATACAGTTGACCCTGTGAAGAAAGCACGTATATAGGTCAGTTCTTTTTACATGTTAGAAGCTAACAAATTGTTCGCAAATTTTAATTTTTTAAGCCTCTCCTTCTTATAACAACTCTAATTCTGAATAGCTTTTTAGTGGCAGGTGGATTTTCATTGAATTATGGGCAATATTAAAAAGAAGATTTTTCAAAAATTGCTCCAATTATTATTTTACTTAGTACAGATAGGGCTAAATGCACTAAATAACTTGTTGTCAATGCCATTTTAATGTTTGTATTTTTTTAAAATTATACTAATGTAATTTTTTTATACATCTCTCACTATGTTAATATTTATATTGTGAGAGTTTTTTATATATCATTGCATTTGCAGTGCTTCAAACGATTCCATATCAAGTTTTTTGAAAAATCGAAGGTTTTGATGAAAAAGAGCTCAAATTTGTGCATTTCCAAAAATTATCAAACAACATTTTATAAAAAAAAACTTCAAATTTTTTAATGAAAAGTTACATGTAAATCATTTATTTCAAGACTACCATTAGGGGTCCTAAAAATTGAAAATATCTAGGTACCAATTGATGGTTGCCTGCTGGAAAGAGGATGGGGCACAACCAAAACGCTAGCCCACACTAAAGTAAGGAAAGTACTTAGTACGAGAAAGTCAGTGCCATTCTGAATTGCCACCAGTTCATTTATTTGTTTCTTTTGTCTTCAACATTACATGCTTAATTTCCTGTTTTTTTTGGTTTTATTTGTAGTTAACAGACAATGTAATTTTAAATATTTGAGTATTTTTACATTTTAAGGTCTTGTGTTAAAGAACGACAAAGTCATGAAACAACCGAATTCTAAATGGCATCGGTTGCAAGCAGGTCGGATAGTATCAGATTGCATCAGATGAAATCAGAATGGTTTGGGTGGCTTTGGAATGTGTCAGTAAGTATTGGAAGGTGACACATGGCCTTATTATGTGATGTATAGCATCAGACATGTTTCAGACAGAATCAGAAGATTCAGAACTTCGGTTGATATATAGCGGTTATGATATATAACTTCGGTTGGCATCAGAAAGCACCGGATGGCTTCGAAAAGATTTGGATAGCATCGGAAGATATTGGAAGCAATGTAAAGGCACGTTTCCACTTCTTAACATTGAATACCTAGTTCGATAATACTGAGGCGCATGGCTTTTCGAAGGTTTTTTTGATCTTGGAAGAACCTTGAGAGATGTCCGAAAAAATTAATCCGCCAATTTCCCGTCCGAATGAGGTCGTACGTTCTCTCAACCAGACAGTTTGGATGTAAGTTTACTGAGACCGACACCTAGTAGAGAAAGTGAGTGACACCAGGGACTTCAGGGGTACGACCTCACAATGCGCATGCGCGTAAAAGATTCCGTAGAACGGCGCCGGGGGTAGGCTTCAGAGGAGTGATTGATTGATCGATTGATTGATTGTTTAGTGATTCCAGGCACGTCAACTACTAGGGTCATTAGTCCAGTAAGTGAAATGCATGTTTTTGCTCGGGAGGTGGCGGAGGTCTTTCCCCCGCTATATGGCGAGATCCGGCGCCGACCTAGCGTCGGCTCGCGAGGTTTTCCCCAACCAGGTATCCCCCACCAGCGGGGCACCGCCCCAGCCGGGACAAGCTCTAGGCTCCCGACCGGTCTCCCGGTATGCGTGGTACTGTAGTACATGTCGGTGTAAGTGTGTGTACGGGGGCGAGGATAGGAAAAGGAAGAGGTAGATCGCGAGCGGTCCGTGGCCCGTTTGTTTGGGTACTGCTCTGGCATTCGCCTGGTGTTGATCGGAGAAACCACGTAAAACTACCGATTAGAGCAGCCGGCCGCTAGAATTCTCCTTCAGACAGCGGCCGAATTCGACCTAGCTGACAAGCGAGTGCCGGATATCCAGCCACCGCCGGGTCTCGAACCTAGAACCTCCGTGTCAGATGGTGACACCAGTTGCCGCCCTGAGCCACCTCTCCCGGCCCGCAGCCGTGCCGGCGACACGCCCTGAAACGGCGTGCGTCCCCGCCCACCTGGTAGTCGCACTTGGTGCAGTCGAGGCAGCAGGTACGCGGCAGCAGCACGCCGTGCGAGCAGTTGCCCTGAGGAGGGCAGGCGGCGGCGCGGCACGTGGCCACGCCGCCGGCCTCGCAGCGGCAGCGCGTGCACGGGTCGCCCAGCGAGAACTCGGCGCCCTCCGCCACGCGCCGCCCGCCGCCCACGTCGCACCCCTCCTCCCCCTCTCCCTCCGCCGCCGACGCCGCGCCCGCGCCGCCGGAGCAAGCCGCACCGTGCAGCGGGGAGCCGCACGTCACGTTGCCGTGCTGCGAACACACACACACACACGTACATTCAACGATAGAATCAAGATTTTTATTTATTTATTTATTTATTTATTTATTTATTTATTTATTTATTTATTTATTTATTTATTTATTTATTTAATTTAATTTAATTTAATTACGTCAAAACCAGTTAAAGATACGTGCCATGGGGAGAAGTTAATTTGAAGTTACATTTACGTTCAGAAGTAAAACAAGGGACCATCTCAGCATTAGCTCAATGTATCAGGGAAACTGGACGAAAACCTGATCGAGGTGGGGGTCATTGACTCAGAAGCTGAAGAACAATACTTGTTATAGGTTATTTATAATTACACAATTCAAACAGTATATAATACATTAAATGTCATTGTTAAAATTAATATTACTTTCATTTGGGATGCTCGGTATAGTCTCTGATTGTATAGAAACAGTTGGGCAGCAGAATAGATTTTACGTGGGACTTAAACTTTTGTATCGAGTTTAATCATTTAATGTCATTTGGCAAGGTGTTGTAAAATAAAGTACATGTATTATATGTGAAGATCTATAGTACTTGGGTGTTCATTTCTTGGCGCGCGAGGACCTGTCTTCACGATGGAATATATCAGGGATCGTCCATAATTAAGTTACGCTAAGGAGGGGAGGTGGCGGTTCGAAGCTGCGTTACGCTGCGTTACATAGGGGTAGGGCGTATTCCATTAGTGTTATGTAACATTAATTTTTTAATTTTTTTAAAACATTTGTTGAAATACTTCATTTTCTGTCACACTCAAACATGAAAATATTATCTAATTAATTTGTTTTAAAACAAATTTAAAATACGTTGTTAGATGTTACTGAATGAATGAAATGAATACTCTTTTTTGCTGAATTATAATTTAAATTCACTTTTTGAATTTACATAGGAGGTAGGGGGTTGTCGCAAGCGTTACGTAATTATTATGGGGGTGGGTCAATCGCGCGTTACGAATGCGTTATAGGCGGGAGAGGGGGCATTCAAAATACTGAAAATTTGCGTTTGGTAATTTCTGAACGGCCCCTCACGGTATTTCGCGTCTTTCTCGGTCGTACCGCTAGATGTTGCCAACACACACACACGCGTATTTATCCTCGCAAGTTTTCTTGAGCCCTCGTTTTGCTAGTTGCGAGAGGAAGTTGGGTTATTTTGACGAAAGTAATTGGGCATCAAATTTGTTTCTTCTTTTTCGATGCAAATTTGTTTCTATGAAACGGGAGCGAACATTCTGGTTATCAGATTTTGTCTACAACGTTCGTTGTTATCAAATTGTTCGTTGCTATCAACTATTGGCAAAGGAAGGTAGGTATGCCGGGGTTCAAGAAAATGTGCGCGTGAAGTACTACGAGTATATGTGTAGGGACGTTCCGATTCTCCCGATTCGATTATTTTCTTTCGATTCCTGTGGAATAGGTATTGGATTCCTTTTCTTCCGATTCTTGACGAAATCAAAAAAAGACGCGAAATGTCGTGAGGGATTTCATCGTGAAGACAGGCCTCCACGCGCAAAGAAATTAAACAAAGTAATTACTTGGATTTATTTAGATCTGCACCTGTCGTAAATCATCTGTTACGGGAGCTTAACGTCACTACAGTGACGTCACTATGGTGACGTTCCACCTTCCGATTGAGTGACACCGTAACAGCTGATTTGTGACAGGTGTAGCTCCCAAAATAAAGCGCATAAATCCCAAGTATAGAGATTCCCCCCTGCCTCTACTTCTCCCCCATTCAGCAATTCACCTTCCCTTCGGCATCCCCTCTTTGCCTGCCTCCCTTCTGCTGCCCGTTCATTTCCACAGTAATGCGCGAATAGAAATTTACCTTCTTCCTCTTTACTCCGAATTTTCTCTCTATCCCTCATCCTATTGCCCCGCCTTCTAGGTTTCCTCTTCCTCCCCCCATTCTTCTTGCTCTTCACCTCCCATTCCTCTTTTTCTCTTCCCCCGTATTTCAGATCATCTTTCTTGACCTCTCCCTTCTCTACTCTCACTTCTCTTCGTTTTCTCTTCCCTGCTTCTTTTCTTTATGTATTTCCCTCCACCTTTCTCTGTTCCTGATTTTCCGTCCTCTTCGCGCCTACTTTTCCATCCTTCCTCCGACTCCCTGCCCCGGAGCACTCTCCCCTTGCAATGGCGCATGATCCTTGCTGCCATTGCTGCCAATACTCTCTCTCTCACAAACACACACACACACACACACACACACACACACACACACACACACACAGATAGTCCACGTATGCCGCAATAGTTTTAAAGACGCCTCAGGAAGGAGGAGGAGGACTGCGAAGGAGTAACCCGTGACATCAGTTAACACAGAGAGATAGGCTGATCTGCCCTTCCGTGATGCAATGTCCGATGGCGGTTCCTCCGGAAGGGAACTGAAGGAATGGGACGGGATTTTTATTGGGTAAGGCGCAAGCAAGCTGTGAATCCCACACGACTGTGATTTTCCCCTGCCCTCGTAAAAACAGACACACACACAAATTTACCTTCTTCCTTATTCAAAATTTTCTCCCTCTTCGGCCCCCCAACTTGAGACGAAGTGAAACTATACAATTTCCCACGAGTTGTATAAACTCGTAGGAAAAAAAAAAAAAAAAAAAAAAGAAAAAAAATTGAAGGATGTAGCTTCGTTTACTATGGAAGCTTGTTTGTTGAAGAAGAGTTGACACAGTTCGCTAGAGAATGGCCGCCTGAACGTCGGCCGGAAGTCTTCACGTGACGCTCTGCTTTCAAACCCTCATTAGAAGCGACAATCAGTACCTGGCAGGCGCACAGCCGGCAGCCGGGCGCGCGCGCGTGGGCGCGAGGCAGCGGGACGGGCAGGGCGGCGCCGTGGCGCAGGCGGCGCCCGTCCACCAGGCAGTCGTGGCAGCGCGGGCAGCAGCGGCCCGGCGCCCGGTACGGGTGCGAGCACGGCGCGGAGCACGGCTTGCGCCGGCACGTGATGTTCCCCTTCTGCGCGCACACACACACACACACGCGGGAACGTGAACGTGATCGGTGCAGGACACCGAATTGGCTTTGTTCGGGTGCACTTGGAATTACAGTACACCCCGGAAATCCGCGCGCGCGCGCGCGCACACACACACACACACACACACGCACACGCACACAGGAACACGCACACACACACACACACACACACACACACACACACACACACACACACAGGAACGTAAACGTGATCGGTGCAGGACACCAAATTGTCTTCGTTCGGGGGAATATCAGCTGCACTTGATATTACAGTAGAACCTCGCTAATCCGCAATTCCGGATAATCCGAACAAAATTCGGGTTATAGGAAAAAGAAACACAATAAAGTGCTTAATTGTAGGGTAAAAAAATGATTCCATAATTACTTTAGAACTGAATAACTAACTAATGAAAAACAATTAGTCGAAATGAAACTTTCGTTGCACTGATAATTACGGTGTATATAACATTAAACATGTAGCAGTAATTTTCACTTTGGAGAACTTGCAAAATCGATCTCTCGAAATCGGGTTCCTCTGTACTGATGTAAGGGGGCGAACAGGGCCCCCTTACGCGCGCGCTCACGTGCACAGGATTGATGCTGGAAGCCAAAACCATTTACCGAATGCCAGTTCTGTTTCCTGCACCGATTAACGTTCTGCACCTAAGGTTGGGCAGTATTTCAGTACCTGTATTTAAAATGCGTATTTACAATATACGTGTATTTACAAATGTGTATTTACAATATATTACATAAAATAAAATTTTATGTAATATATTGTATTTTATTTTAAGTATTTCTTTTTTAAAATACACCTATCAAAGTATTTTGACTCGTCCCTGTTTCATTATTCATAATAATATCAAGCTAGGCAAAAATAGCAAGCTGCAAAAAGGGAAATATATTCCCACGTAGTAGTTAAAACTTACAATTGTGACTAATAATAATAATAATAATAATAATAATAATAATAATAATAATAATAATAACGACACACCGAGAGAATTCGCTGAGAGTAGTACAGAAGAATGAAACTTGTCCCGCAGTACGTTATGAACTCCAGGAATATAATATCTGCAATAGCCAGTTTAACAGTGCCTGATAGCCGAGTACAGTTTCGGACTAGTGGACTGGACAGAGCAAGAAATTCGAAGCATGGATCGAAGAAACAGAAAACTATTTACAATGCATCAAGTCGCCCACCTTCGAGCTGATGAACATAGACTTTACGAGGCACGTAAGGATGAAGGACGAGGCTTTAGGCAAACAGAAGCCTCCTGACACAATGGTTAAACATCAAGCTACAGCCAGGAATAATTAATTAATTATTCAATCCATCCAACGGGGAGGGGGAAATCGCCACCAATTCACAAAATTAAAACATTCACTACACTAACGTGGGTCAATGACCATGGAAGTTGAGAGCGTTGGCTTTCGCGGCTGGAGTCAGTAATTACTTGGCTGGCCGGGAAACGCCGCGTCCTAGCCACAGGAGACAGGGTTTCGGCTGGCATTTGCGACCTTCCTCAGGGCGAAATACATTTGCATGCAGGTCGCATCATGACGTCGGAAACGTTGGCACCCGTGACTAGAACTCGGCATTTCCCAGACAGACAACTATAGTTCGACCACTTAGAAAAAAACATCATGGCGTCGCTTACCTCGGGAGGTGAGGCTAAGTCTTCCCCTGTTCCTCCCGAGGGGGAGCTCAGTTGAACTTAAGGACCGCCTGCAACTGAGGGGGGAAAGCGGTCCTGGGGTCGAAGCCCGGGCAAGTCCAGCGGCATTCGCCTGGAAGTTATTCAAGGCGCGTACGTGCAACTTTACAAAGTCGGCATCTGCACCAACGGGCCCGACAAGTTAAAGTTCCCTCCTTCGAGCCGCCCTGCCCGCGGGGGAGACCTCGAGGGGGAAAGCGGGTAGTTCTCCCGCTTCAACTCTCTAGGGTTCGAGACGTTCCTCAAGGCCAGAACGTCTTCTCCCCGCCCGCCCAGGCCGAGGCGGCAGTGGCTCCTCAAGACGGGAAAGTTGGGCTTCTAAGATGGTGAATCTGCCCGTCCGCCACTTTTCGCGCATGCGCAGTCCAGGGTTTTTTCTTCTAAGTGATTGAGCTATAGTTATTACTTGCGCAACTTTTCTTGACGATGGATTGAAGAAATGTGGGTAGAGTGGGGGTATTAGTTACGAAATCGGCCACTAGGTTTTATGAAGCAATGCCAATCTCTGGAGAATCAGCTATGCCCTCGGAACTTTCTCAATAGTTTGCGTTCTAACTTTCTCAGGAGTTCAAGGTATCTCCTGTAATGCATCTTCCTCTGCTTCGGTCATTTCTTTAGATTTTGTTTTTGAGAAAATCACAGAAGTTCTCGTCTTCAACAGAAAACAGTTTCTATATCGCGCCAGCGAAGATGAGTTTCGAATGTTGTCATCAGTGCTCGCTGCGAGCTTTTGCCTTCAACTGTTTATTGTGCCAGAGAGGGGGAAGCAAGGTCATCGTTCAAGAAAAGTTGGGTGAGTCCAGTATCACACGCGGTGTTCCTGGCTCCATTTTCCCACATCTCTCTCTCACACTCACACACTCTCGCAACACCTGTCCCTGAGTGTGCGTCAGGGGGGGGGGCGAAGGGGCTCTCACGTCAAGTTCTCACCTGACAGGAGCAAAACGAGCACGGGTCGCTGGGGTGCGGGAAGACCTGCTGGTCGCGCATCTGCCGGCAGCCGTCGCACAGCGGGCAGCACTCGCCCATCACCCACTGCGGGTGGTCGCACCGCGCCTTGCACACCGCGCGCGCGCACTCCACGCGCCCGTTCTGCGAATGGAATTGAATTTGAATTGAATTTGCCTTATTTTACGAGACTCGGGCCATCAGGCCCGCTCTTCCGCCTGACCACGCAAATTTCGCTACGCTCCTTTCACCAACTAGGAGAGAAAGGAGGTATTTCTTGGGCGAGAAACAGGCGATTTGAATTTAGCTCAGAGGCTACGTCATTTAGGCTTGAGGATCTTTTACATGCGAGTAAATCTACGAACATGGGACAGCCGGCTTTACTTCCCCTCCGAAGGTAGGCGTACGAAGGATTTTTTCGCCCTTAAAAATCCACGGCTTCGATCGGGTTTGAACCCGCCAACTCGGGTACAACAGTCCAGTACGCTAACCGTTACACCATCGACGCCGCATCGCGAACGCGGCATACGGCTCCGATTCAAACATCCGTAAGTCCGTTGACACTTGCCCAGCTGTGACGTGCAATGCAATCGTGCAATCGGGAGCTTGAACGTCACTAATGTGGCGTCGCTAATATGACGTTCAAGCTCCCGATTGAATTACAGCCTCACAGCTGACTAGTGACGTCACTATAACGACGTTCAAGCACCCCATTGATGTTTTAATCGACTATAGGGACTTTTATCCTGGGAGCTTAAACGTCACTAATATGACGTTCAGGCTCTCGATTGGATTACAGCCACTAATGTGACGTTCAAGCTCCCGAT